ATTTTTGCACCTCGTGAGAGAAGTTTTGACCTTATTAGCAGTGGCGCACCTAGAATTTTCCTCTTTCCTAGAGGGTTTTGGTTGGGCACTAGAGATGATACGAAATACTAGGAACAAGTATTTGGCAATAGGTATGAGTATATTATAACGTAACGTAACAGTTATCGGTTTTCTAAAATACTAGTTCCAGTTTTATCTAGATTTTTTCAACGATACGACAGACACGGAATGAATCAAGCCTGGTAACTGTAACTTCTACTGTTACTGTACCGCTACCGATACTGTTACTGTATTCGATACCTGCGCTGCGCTTTGATATCGATATTTTGGTATTAGTATTTTGGATACCGATACGCACGGGGATCAGTTGTATTTTTTGGGTAGGTAATAGTTCTAGTTTATAGTTACTGAGGATTGGCGGTTCGGACTTCGGGGTTATTACGGTGGTGTATGCAAGATGTGAAATTATACGTATTAAATCTGTCATAATATTGGTCTCTTGTTGTTACTCTATTATTTTAGAAGTTTGTTAATTTGATTTTGTTTGAGTGTAACACATATTTTCCGTGAAACTATATGACTTTACATGAAAATATAACTTTATGTAAAACGTTAGAAAAAATTAGGAAAAAGACGTGGCGCGGCGTACAAATGTAAAAATACTAGGTTAAAAAGTAACTAGTATTTGGAACAGGTACTAACATCGAACCGGAACGTAACTGTTATCTAAAAATACTCATTTGTATCATCTGTATTGGGCAACGAAATTTTTTATGCTACCCCCACCATTTAGAGTCCTTAAAATTTGTAAATAACAGTGTCGGAATAGGGTCGAGGAAGGGGGAGGGGTAGGGTTAACTACTAAAACCCCTCTGGGTGCGCCACTGCTTATTAGATGTAACATTGCAAAGAAAAATCTGTTTCCCGCCAGGGACAGCCGATCTCCTTGTCTCACTTCAGAATTTACGCAGAAAGCAATTGATGTTTTCCCTCTTATTCTGACTTCTGCAAACGAGTTAATTACACACATTTGCGTTACTGCTGCTAGTTTTTTAGGAATGCCTAGCTAGACCAGTGCATTAAATAATCTTAAATGATTAATTGAATCATAAGCCTATTTGAAATCTATAAAGATCTGATGTTCGTCACGATTATTCTTTCAATACTTTTCAAGCGTTTCTCTAATATTTGATCAATTGTCGAACTTTCAGGCTTGAAGCTATATGGTAGTCACCAAATATTTTTTTATACGCAGCCAATATTTTATACGCAGTATTGGTTAGTAAAATTTCTCTATAGATTATACATGAGTTCTTTTCGTCTTTTCGTATGTATTGGTACCTAGAATAATACTGCCATACTATTATTAGGACATTTTTTTTTGTCAGGTTGTTGTAATATATCTGACCTAGACATAATAATAGTTTTGCTCAAAAAAGAAAGCTTATTCAAGTGATCATTCGCCATGAGCGCAGAAAATACGTGTATGTACCATACCTACCAAAAGAATGAAATTGTGAAATAATATTAAGATAAATGGTTTTCTAAGTGAGGCGATTTTTTTAAGAGTTTACAGAAATATACCTATACCTTTTTTCATCGTCCTCAAAATGTTGGAATATTCTATTACAATTTATATTAAATTTAAATCTAAAAAAACCATCGGGTACGCACTGGGGAAGTAGAGTCATTGCTACTCGGTCTTTACGATTTCAATTAGGAGATATTTATGATGGTCTTTTAGAAATTTCAAATAATGATAACAATAAATAATTAAACATTTTTAGATAACTAAATTTAGATAGCAGGGGAACAATGTTTAATAGATCAGTCCAAATTCTAGCATATGTAGACGACGTGCACATTATAACCAGGGCGAGAACTGCGGAAATCCTAACCGAATTAGGAGCAGCAGCAAAACGAATGGGGTTATATATAACTCAAAATAAAACGAAATTCATGGTGACTAACACAAACACAAGAGCTGGAAATATTGACGCAAATTTAATCATCAATGACCAAAACTTCGAAGCAGTCAAAGAGTTCATATATCTAGGGACCTCGGTTAACCCCAATAATAACACATCCGAGGAAATAAAAAGGCGAATAATAATTGCAAACAGGTGTTATCATGGTCTATCAAAGTACTTAGCTAACAAACGTGTCTCAAAAAACTCGTATAAGGCTTTATAGAACACTGATAGTCCCTGTTCTCACATATGAATCAGAGGCATGGACGCTAACTATAACAGATGAATCCGCTCTATCGATTTTTAAAAGAAACGTGCTACGCAAGATATTTGGAGCGGTCTGTGAAAACGGAATATTGAGCCGTAGATATAACTTTGAACTGCAGAATATCTACAAGCATACGTTTGGTCGTACAGATATTATCACTATAATTAAGCGAAACCGCCTGCAGTGGGCAGGACATGCAGCTCAGCCCCTGAATCGAACATGATAAAAAAGATTCTAACAGCGCAACCCGTGGGAATGAGAAGACGGGGTAGACAAAAGCTGAGGTGGATGGATGTAGTAACACAAGATGCAGAGAAGATCGGAGTCGGCAACTGGAAAATGTAAGCAAGCGACAGGATAGAATAGCGTAGAAAGTTTGAAGCGAAGGTCGACTCCCTCTAAGGGGTGTAGCACCAAGATGATGAAATAATTAAACATGAAGCAAAAATTTCATACATTATGATTAAGGATTTTAAATTTATTTGCAGCACAATCATTTAGTAGGATTTATTCAATAGAATTATTCCAGTTAGTAAAGCTATTCGAGAGAAAAATGTAAATATTTTCTTATTGTTAATTTTATCGAGAATTTAAAAACTTATATTTCTGAATGTAGACATACTATAACAACATTTTGGAGGTTCCAAAACAATTAAGTGAATATGGAGATGGAGAAACGAAATAAAAATCTATATTATAAGTTCGACAGCGAAAAAAAAAACGTGAATTTGATTAGGGACTGCCAGATGAACAACCAAAATCGCCCGAAAATAGATTTAATGTTTTTATACCCTTATAGATACTGCTTTATGCTCGTTAAACGAACGTTTCAACTTTTTAGCATTTAGCTCTTCCAAATTTTGCAATAACATCAAGAATTTTGTTAAAGCCTCCCGTACACAAAGCTAGTCGCAAACGTTCATTTTCAAAATTGAAACTAATTAAAGTATATTTAGGAAAAACTTTGACACAGACGACACTTAGTCTAGCATTAATTTCAATAGAAAAGGAAATTAGATATTGATAATTTTGTAACAACCAAAGAAGAGAATATATTTTTTTAAATTATTTACATCCTACTTTACTAAATGTTTTACGGTTACCAAAAAATGAAATAAATAAATTAATAAGATTAAATTTTAAAAAATCGAAGGGCGGCTATGTCACTTTTGCAGCGACCTATAAGATTTTTGTGTAGACCATACATCTAGTCACACATTCAGTTCAACAAATAAATGCAGGCTTCTAAGAAAATGTTTTCTTTTTTCTTTTTATCCGTTTTGGAGAGATATTTTTTACCCGGTCAGGCTCTAAAAAGACCTGTTTGAGATACGTATGGCGTTGGTGAACAATTATACTACAGTGGCAGATAATATGTTCGACCGTTTCCTCAAAATTGTCGCAGAACAAATTAAACCAGATAGTGGTAAATTGGCTCAAAAAACTCAGATGGGTATGGAACGACAGATGCTAGGTATCTCACTCAAAGCCCATAAAACCAATGAAGATTGGTATCTCACTCAAACCATTCGTAATAGAACAAAAGTAAAAGATGCCGTCGAACAGGCAGCTAAACTGAAATTGAAATGGGCTGGACTTAATGAACGTCTTAAGGATGGCCGATGAAATAAAGAAATCGGGAATTTGCGGCCATGTGAAGCCAAAAGACCACGAGGAAGACCGCAAATGCGGCCGGGCGACGATATTAAAAGAACTGCAGGACCAATTTGGAAACGTCATACAAACAATAGAGACAAAGAATATACATACACGCTTTCTATATTCTCTGGTAGAGATGAATGGCGAGAATTAAGAGAGGCCTATGTTCGGCAATCCAAATAGAGAGAAGGGTTTAAAAAAAAGTTTCTTAAAAGTACTTTTGAGTACCATTTAACTTCATACATTTGAAATACTGAAGCAGATTTAATCTGAAAGTTTTTATTTGTATCTATAGTATCTTAGTAGTATCTATATTGTCATTAGATATAAGTTAAAAAATCTAAATATAATTCTTGCAATGGAATCAAACTTAAATCCAGAATTAAATATACAAAAATTCTTAAAGATCACTAGAAATATACAGCGATCTCAGCTTAATATAAAACGTTATTGTTCAATAAAATTATATGGATTTAAAGTATTAGTGGTACGTAATTTTCAGATAAACTTTTAATAAAAAGCGATAAACAAAATGCATAGCACATTAAGCAAATAAAATATTTAACATTAGGAAAGGAGTAAAAATGAAAAGATTTAATAAAGATATATAAGAGGGCACTAAAGAGATAATTAGTATGCATTGTACTGACTGCAATTATTTACAAATTCTAAAATATACATCTATATATTATTTTCTCCTATTTTAATAAAACTAAAAACTAAATAAAACCATTGTATTCATACCATGAATACTTATCACACCAAATACTTAAAAATTATCTTTTATTAAATATTTTTTTTTTATTTAATTTACCAATTAATGCTAAAAATATTAGAGCTGTCATATTACTACAACCAATAATAAACACTTTACAATTAAAAGAACCTTTAAAAACTTTTGATTAGCGCCACCTATGTACACACGCTATTATCAATAGCGCAGCAAAGTTTGCTGATAGTTAATGACAACAAAAAACGGCAATACAAAACTAACAAATTCTATGAAAGCTCTCCAAACAAAAATGATTATTTGGTGTACACTGAAGTGCAACAAACTGGTAAAATATTGTGTCTGTGTATTTAAACATTAGTATCATATTTACCAGTTCTTGTCAAAGGCGGTGAAGCACGCGTCCATACCGCACGTGGTGTTGGTGTTCACAAAATCAATGAAATTTGTGCTAGACATGACGCTGCAGCTGAGGTATAACTGGTGAAACTACGCGCCAAGCGCAAAGTATTTTATGTTTCAAGTTGGTCAATATTGTAAGCAACGTTGCCAGAATGCTTTAACGTCGTCAAAGGGATAGGGATGAGCGATAGATGAACGAGTTGTGGAGCTTTCGTTTATAGGAATTATCGAGATTTCTTTTGCCTACTCTATCGTTCTTTCTACTAAGTTTGATTATTACTATTTATTTTATCTTTGTTATAGTACCGGATGTCTGTATAGTGTGAATTGACAATGGACAGGAAGTAGGGGAGAGGGGGGCAAGTTGTTACATAATTGATTCTATTATTTATTTGGGCAATAGTAGATCTTTTATATGAAAACTAAAATCGGATTAAGGTAGTTGATACATTTACACAAATAATGTTAATTTTAATTTATTTAAAAAATCATATTTAACATTTTGTTATTATCAATTTAACTCAACTTGTAAATTGTAACAACATACCCCACTATGAGGCAAATTGTTACAGTCCATGGGGTAAGATGTAACAATAGAAAAAAAATTCTAAAAACTTCCCACAACATTATTTAGTGGTCACAGAAAGAACCCTTGCTTAGCTACAAAGAATATTATAAACATAACACAAAATGAAATAAAATAAAAAATGAAAATCTGAACAAACCTGTTTACAAGAATGTTATACTAGTCACTATCAGACTAGCAGTGAATACAAATATAAAAATCATCGTCTTTTCCACAAGCAATATGTGCCCACTTTTGACACACAATGCACCGAATCCATTCTTCGTTTTTGGACTTCGAAAATGGAGCTAAACATACCAGACACGTCGATTCCTCATCCTCTTCCGAGCTTTCAGAATCTGATTTTTTGAAGGTGTTTTTGGTAATGACGGTCCGTTTCTTACATTTTTTAACAGTAGTTTTTACCTTGTTTATTGATTCACCTGATATGTTTCTTTTGGTTGCCCCCACATTTTTTTTCTTTGTCTTGCCTTTTCTTCCTCCTCCAAAGCTGATTTAATGGGAGTATCAGTCAAAACAGCGGAAGTTCTTTTCTTCCAACCCCCTTTGGATTTCCTTGGTATTGCTTTTAGAAATCTGTGCTTGTAGAAGGTTGCTGTTGGGAAGGAGTTCTATGTGTTTCGGTGCCAATAGGTGCCGGATCTATGACTACTGTTGCGTTTATATTTTCTGTTATTGGCATATTTGTTCCCTCTGCAGGCAAGAATTCATCATCTTGAAAAATTTCTCTGTTGTATGGCCAAATTCCTGTCACACTAAATCCTTTTTGTATATTGAGAGGTGTAACAGCAAGAGGAAATGAATCTTTAAGAACGATAGGTATATCGTAAATGTTCATTACTTTACCGGGATTAGATCTTAACCATGCATCTGCAGCACTATTAAAATATCTTTTAAGTGGGCCAAATACCGTCCTATCAAGCGGCTGCAACTTGTGTGATGTATGTGGCGGGAAACTTGAAAGAACCACTCCATTTTCTTTGCAAAAATTTAACACCGGAATAGACAAATGAGACTCGTGATTATCTAATACCATCAAAACGGGTTCCTCTTTGCTACATCGTACAAACTGGACGAAATGTTTCATAAACAACAAAAAGTTATCACATGTCATCCATCCAGAGGAGTGAGACGCACCTACACAACCAGGAGGTTCATTGGCTACCATAACATCTTTGAATTTCTTTCTCGGAAATATTAAAAATGGAGGTACCTTGGCATTAGATGTTAACGCAGTTGCGTTAACAGCTAATGCCAAGGTAACAAGTTGACCTCTTTCTCCAGATGTGATAGCACCTACTTGCTTAGTTCCCCTTTTTGCAATGATTTTTGTAGGCCTTTGGACAGTTGTAAGTCCAGTTTCGTCCATATTGTACACTTCTTAGAGCTCAAATTTATATTTATCATAAACTTTGCCGAGATTGTTAAAAAACTGTGACACATTATGACGATTAAATGCGGTAGCTCGACCCATACTAGTAGCTTCAGGTGTCCGGACTGATAAAGTTCGATGCCTCTTCAAAAATCCATAAAGCCAGTCTCTGGAAGTTATTTCATTAACCTTCCAATTTTCTGGAACAGATATTTGGTTGGTTGTTGCATATTAAAATGCAAATTTTCTCAAATCAGAAGTTGTAAGACCGTAATAAATTTTAGCAGAATGCTCAGTATATTCGACAAGTTCCTCTTCTTCAGCATTGTGAAATATTTTTCTGACCGTAGCGTAGCCGACTAAGATCTTGTTACTGTTTTCAGCACCTAAGTTTGATTTTCTTTTCATATAGCAGTGCAATGTCATAAAACTAACTCCATAGCGAGTAGCAGCATCCCTAATTGACAAGTGATCTTGTAAAACCGATTGCGCCGCCCTTTCAAATTGTTCGGTTGGAATAATACCCCTTGTGGTTTTCTTGGAATACGTTCGCACCATGTTAAGCTATCTGAAAACAACCAAAACAATTTCATGATAGAAAAATTTAATAAAACCTAATCTGTGTTTCTAACATGCTTTGCGAAAATAAATGTAGGTAGGTATGCTATTCATTACAAACAAATTACTATCTACAAAATATGTCTGATCATAATATTGGATTTTTAGTGAAATCATAAATTATGGTAACCATATTGTAACCATTTATTCGACCAGGTATTTCGATATATTCTTACATTAACGTGTTCGGGGCCAGTTGTTACAGTAACAACCTGGCCCCAGATTATTGTAACAACTGGCCCCACGTGTACGAAATGAGGTTAAGTCAACGTTTTTTGGTAAATATTGAGAATCAATTACTAACAATAGCATGCCAATAACGAGAAATATATACGCTTCAAAACTATATAATACACATATTTATACTACTTACCAATTTCTCACAATTAAAAACAAAAGCCACCTGACAACGGTACAGTTTTAGACCCGAAACCACATTCTAAGCAATAACACTATGATGGATGTCTGACTTGAGTATCAATATCCGTTCACAGATGACCGGTCGGTTGACCCAACTTTCCATAAAATATCGGCAACTCATGATACTTGCTGCGTTTTAAAATAATTGTGTAACAACTTACCCGTGTAACAACTTGCCCCCCTCTCCCCTACCTTAATTCTTAATATTTAATATACATCTTTTTATATTGTTCTGAAACTATTTTCTTGTGGCATTTTTAATTACTAAAATCAGTTTATTGACGTTTAAATCTCCACTTCGGAAATCATTTTCATTCAAACAAAATACAAACATTATTAAATTAAACAAATTTTGTTTTTTGATACTTGGTGACAATTTAAGTGACAGTTTTAATAATTTAATTTTAACTGACTCATTTATATTTACCATTCAGACATATATTATACATTTTAAAGTAGACAACTTTAAAATGATTTTGCCAATATGGCTGAATTGAGTTCCTGGGACGACTTTATTGTAATTTAGTTCATTCGATTACATGAAATAAACTTTAACTCGAGAATATCCGTCAAAAAAAATCGTAGCATGTAATTCGTCCACATTCATCCACAGAAGGACAACCACATGCCATGATGACACTAATAATCTCCTGTTAGTTATTCCATAGTAAATCATGAGGAAAACAGGAAAAAAACCTCATAATAGTATCCCGACGTGGTAAGTATTTATTGTTACATTTAGTTTACTCTCAATAAACATCAAATTCTGATTTTGTATGTTTGTTATTTACAACATTTAATGATCTTGACGTTTCACGTAAATAAAACTGATCGCATTCACAAGGTATTTTATAAATATAATTCTTTGTTCTCACTTGTAATTGAAAAATTTTATACCTCGTCCATATTCTGAGAGAAAAAAATACGCAATCCCTCAACTAATCATCTAGGGAAAGATTAAAAGTAAGAGAGGAGTAGGTCGCAAACAAATGTCGTGCCTACGGAACATAAAGAACTGCACAGGCATAAAACACTGGCGATCTTTTGCATGCCGGAAAAGACAGACGTCTGGCCGGCCAACGCACTAACAGTCTCATTAATAAAAATTGCTTAGTCCGAAGTTAGTCTCGGACTAGTTAGTCCCAGATTAAGCGAGTACCAACTTCATTTTCAGAATGTTATTAATAAATATCGACTAAGCTCAGACTAATTAAAACTTCCTTAGTCCTAGGTACAACAAGTTTATGTTGGCAACCATTGCGAAAAAAAACAGAAAAATAGAGAGAATTTTGTGAAAAAGAAAAAAAATATTTGAGAATTTGACAGTTAGCATAAGTTGGAGCACGTAGAGTTAATTTTAGTTGGACTGTGTTCTGAGAAAGTTTGTTTATATTTTATAGTATTTTTTTTATCTGAAAAGTTTAAACTTCATAAGAGTTCAGGAGGAAACTTTCAAAAATATTTTATTACATAGGGAAAATATAAAAAATACTAATAACATAATGAATTGTAAAATATTTTATTCAATAAATTTTATATATTTTAATATGTCTTAGATGAATATTATTTCACTGATTTCTATGGTCATTAAGTTGTTCTATTAATCTTAAGTCGTTGATAAAATAATCTTCCATTATTAAATAATGTATATGAATAATCAAAAACAATTCAGGTTATGAATATCAAAACAAAACTCCACTCAATATCAATTGTCAATTTAGTCACTCTCTAAACCTGCATCTACCTCGGAATAAATGTTAGTCCTAGACTAGCCAAGGTTTAGCTTAGTATGTCCTTAGTCGCTGTTTATTGATACGAAAAATGAATGTTATTGGTGTAGTCCTGGGACTAATGTTAGTCCAAGGTTAGTCCGTGTTTATTATTAAGAGAGTATAGGTGCACGGCACTATAAGATGAAGAAGAAGTTCTTTCTTGTTCATTGTTAGATTTAGTTTTAGATAAAATAGATCTCAATGTATTTGTTGTTTTGAATGTTGTTGAAATGTTGAATTTATGCTCTATCTTTTTAAGTTTTCTGATAATCTTTTTATGTATGGTATTGTTATTTTTCTCGTATTATTCC